CCTTTATTTTAAATCTAGTTAAACTCTACACGGTCTCTTCTCCTTTGTCTCCTTCCTTTGTTCCTCTTTTTTTGCTATTTAGTACATTCGCTTCAGCAAATGTACTAAATAGCGAAAAAAGAGGAAAAGAACAAAAAAGGAACAGAAAAGCAAATGGTGAATGGTTGACTGTACTGATGATTCCCACTCCTATCCGCATCAGCTTTCTGTCTGTGTTTGCAGATGAGGGACGAAATACAGCCTGAATAGTTTTGCATACTATTAATCCTTTTGATATGTGTCACACGCATGTTTACGGACCTCTCATTACATGTCCTTAGCTCCACAGTTTTCTCTTTTCCTTGTCTTCTTCAGTTCTTTGAGTCACAAAACTTATATTATTTTCCCATGCCCCGCCATCTTCATTCCCTCCTTTTGTTCTTAGAGTTACAATTCCCCTTAATACTGATTCTTAGTTCAGCTGTTGTTTCACTGCCGCATTTCTTCTCGCCACTGATACATTTGACAACTTCTCCATTCTTCTCTGTTTTGGACATCTCTCATCCAAGTAATATAGGCATTTAAGGATGCTTCTCTGCCGCAACGACCTTTTTTTCATACTGACCGATTTCCATGCTTTGTCCATCTGTTTTCTCTCATTTTTGCCGAATGAAGATGTCCAATTTTTTCTTATTTGCGTTAAATTGTTATCGTTCATACCTAGTCCAGGATCGCAGTACATCAACTTCTTCAAAGTTTAACGCGAGGGAAATTTGAAAAAATATATTTCCCCACTGCAGCAGTTCAAATGTTAAAATCGCCTCCTTGACTTATTTACGCTTCACTTTTGAACCGATCTTGTTTTCAGGTTTCTTAATCTTGATACTGTTTTTTTTCGCCCACACACATTTGCGAGAGGCATGAAACTGAAGTCCAGATATGCAAATTTAGAACTTATCTTCAGCTTTTTTTCTATTTTTTTTTAAAAAAGTAGCCTGAAGTTTTTTTAAAATGAAAAATCTGGCGTTATGATTATGAGTTATTAAACAACAAAACATAAATGTGCTACCTTTTGGCCTGCTTTTGAATACCATATTTTTCATACAGGATGAAATGTAGGAGCTTTATCGAGTGTTTAAGCATTTTGATTGTTCAGGTTGGGCAATATATGCGATATCATCGTGGATCGCTGTACAAACGATTCCCTCAATTATGGAAACGCATGGCGACCATTGATGAGAAGCGAAAAATGCAAGAAATGGCCTGCCCATCATCTTTTCTGAACACGAACATTATGCTTGTCAGAGCTAGCGAGGTGCTTTTTTGTTGTTTTACCCATCATTTTTGTTGGACACAGACATTATAATAGTCAGAACTAATGAAGTACCACTTTGCTAATGAGTCCAGAATTCCGTGTTGCACTCATCCTTATTTCCTTCTTTTTTATCTCCCTCAGGTAATCAACATGTTCTTTTGAACATAGCGAAATGGAGCACCGTACTGATGATTCCCACCTCATTTCGAACCGATTCTGCCGTCCGTGTTTGCAGCTCAGGTATGAAACATGCGCTAGCTACTAAGTCACTGTACACATACAGGCTTGCTTATTTGAGAGATTTAAATGGCACTTCCAGTGTGTTTTCATTAATTATCAAAATTCGATTGTGTTCCTTTCCACGCTGATGGGCCAGCAACGCCAAACAAACTGCATATGTTAACACATAGACGATTTCAAGCTCCCGTCCTCTTCCAGTCTCCTAGCCAGAGATATTCACTGTTTGCATCTTTAAAATTTCCACAACGCTTAGGTATATTGAGGCTAAGTTATTAATGGTTACTCGATGTCTCAGAGATTAATATTGGCTTGTGCCGGTAATAGGTTGATTTGGATGGGCACGAAGTACATTTATTTACAGTACTTGTAGGTTTTTTTCCGAAAACATGTTTTTTGGGGGGAAAGAATTTTTGATGGGGAGCTGGAAGAAGTGCTGATTTTACCTGTCGAGGCTAAAGTAATAATCGTGATGACCACGTGATTGTTGGCTGCGCAGAGCTCCTAACCGCCCGTGCAAATTTTACAGCATCGTCGATGATTTGAAGGGGTCAAGAAGGAAAAGGGCCGATCACTGCCTTCCTGGCCATGCAATAAACAAAATAAACATCTAATAGTAGATATTGTTTGGGTCAACCAGTTCCTTTTGACTCCCTCTGTTTTGAGAGATCGCCTGATCAGTTAGTGCAGAATCAGGCAGAATATTCGGGCACGATAGTATGTAATGCACCGTTTTATCAAGTTCTGATGCCTCTGAGCAGCTGCATGCTAATAGCAGTTTACGATTATTTTGGATATATTTTTCTGGAACTTGCAATTTTTTGAGACTCTGGCTTACGTAGATTTAAATTTGTTCTTGACGACTAGCGATTTTTCAGGTAGATGACATTTTGATGGGTCGTGAAGAGAAATATCGCGCTGGCGGAAGTAGCGCAACTCCGACAAGTAGTGTCTCCTCCTCACTGAGCAGTGCTGTTGCTCTGAATGGTACACCGATGAAAACAACACGATCCGGCACTGGGCCATGGCTCGGACAACAGGTACCGCTTCGATTTCAGTGATTTAACCTTAAAGAGTCAGGGTCTGGAGATGCCAGGATAACGCAAATTTCAAAAAACAGCTCTCATGACAAGGAACCGCAAAATGCACTCGCTTTTTTGAGATTGTCGTGAAACTGAATGTTCGTCATGTTCGCGTGCAGGAGATTTTAACCTCCAAGCTGAATTTAGACCACACATAAATATAGAATATCCTTGGAAAGTTGGAACTTTGCATTCTAAACATAGAATATCCTTGCAAAGTTGTTGGATAAGGAAAATCGTGCCGTCTGTACCTTAAATTTGGCATGCTTTTGTCGGAATAACCTCCTTTAAAAACAGTGGTGTCGTCCACAGAATACACGAAGGGACACCAACAACGGAGACTTGGTACTTTCTGCCACGACAAACATTCACATGATTTGGGCGGAGCAAAGAAGTATTTTGGTGATTTTAGTTGGGATTTTATTCTAATTTTTGTCGGAACGCCATAGGTACTTCTGCGAATGACTCATTTCTTGTCTAGATTTTCGTAAGATTTAAATGATTTTTAATTTTATTTATCAAAAAGTTGGGTTTTATTCCTACTGCATGGAATAAAGCCCAATTTTCCTATTGAAAGTTTGGCTTTATTGTCCTACCCTGGTTATTCCTATTGCATGTAGGGTTGGTGCGACCCTTGCCGGTCAATACCCTGCGCTGAATGGGCCGTTGTTCCTGGCACTGGTTACTACCCTCTTCCATTCCCTCGCAGGGCTTTTGGGGCCCGTATTTTTACTTTATTGTTAGAATTAATTGTTTGTTAGGTAAGCAGTGGTTCACATCATCTGGAAAGCGTGCCTTGTTCAACTCCAGTGGCGCATGCTCGTGGTCATATGAAATGTCGTGAATTCACATGTTTGCCGGATGATGTGGAATCGTACAAACGGGTACTGGAAAATGCTGATCAGCCGGAGGAGCTCATACCAATAAGGTTTATCATCCACTCGAATTTATGCAGTGCCAGCAGAAGCTACTTCGTTACATGTGTGTTCTGGATTGAAGATTGTACCGATAGTTTTTCTACTGCTCATAATTATCTTCCAATGGCATTTATCATTTGCGGCATAGGAACGATTCCTTCCTTCGTATCCGGGAAGTTTTGGGCGCAAAAGTGCTAGGAAGCAGCTCGAATGGTAGCAAATACCGACAGCAATCGCTTGCCTGCAAGGCTGTCAGTGCTGTTTCTTTCGACTGTTGCTTAGAAGAACGAAGAGATGGCGGTTTGGACTTCCTGACATGTGCCAGTACCAGTTTACCATCGAAACGAATGAAGGAAATGTAAGGTGAGATTTCCTGTACCAGTGAAGGAGCCGAACCCTGGATCTCTAGGACGAAAGCAGCACTACTTGCCAATGCGCCATGTTTTTTAGCTGATTTTGCTAGCGATTGCCTGATTGAAACGAAAAGTGCAGCTAAACTGTGTAGGTAGAAGGTAAATTTAGCCATTTAAAAGCCAAAACTAATCGACCGATGCTTAGACTTTAGCTAATTTTACCTCATTTCTGTGTATTATTGTTTTTATTGTTTCGCTGTTTCGTCTGTTAGCAGCATAGCTTCACGTTCTAGCTAGTTTCTGTTTTTCTAAGTTTCCTTAATTTTTCCAGATTGGATATGGAACTGGAAGGTATAAAACTGCGTGATACGTTCTGCTATAATCGTAACGAGAAGCAGATTACGCCGGAGATTTTGGCCGAAACAATGTGCGATGATTTGGATTTACCTGCTGGAACATTTCAGACTGCCATCGCGCAAGCCATACATCAACAGATTGAAGTAAACTTTGAATTTTCAGGGCGTTTTTTTGTGCTTAATTAATTATTAATAAGAGTGGAAACTTTTCAAATAATTGATTTTTCATTTTTTTTTTACTTTATATATCCCTGAGCAAACAGGAGATAATCTGGACAGGCCACGTATTGGTCCCGTGTCAGTGGTACTCGGATTGCTTTCGTATGCTCAATACCCGGGCTTCGACCCCTCCAACGAGACAATTGTGGCAGGCTGTACGATTTTGAATTTCGAACCTCCAGTAAGTCTTCATCGTCTGTTCGATCTATGTGCAGTACCTCGTCAAAAGTTCTTCACATAGTCCTCGTAAATAGTACTGTCACTAATATGCAACGTTCACCGGTTATCGGCCAGGCAAGCAACTTTCCCCATCCATCAGATTTATTTTCGCATGGTTGTAATGATATCCTGCACGTCGTTGTTCGACAGGGATTCTTACTGATTTTTATGCGTTTTGTGCTGTGTAACAGCGTTACAAAACGCATATTGTCACGGGTTGTCTGTGCGTGTGTGTGTTTGTGTGTGTGTATGTGTGTGTTTGTGTGTGTCCCACATTTTGTCCCGCACTTTCAACTTGGGAGCCACAAAAGTTAAGCGGCTGAAATTTTGGTATAGTGTTCCCCGCCAACGGGTGACGCGGCAAATTTAAATTCAGCCTTCCCGTACCCGCGGGTAACTCGTACGGCCCCGTGAAATTTTTTTACGGGTAAATTAATATCTCACGGACCACGAAGTCTAGAAGGCTGAAATTTTAGGGTAATGACCCCTGTCCACGCTCAACCTTACCCATTCAAATTCAGCGTTCTCGCGCTCTCGGGTATCACCCGCGGGCTAGTAAAAGTTTTTACAGGTTAATTATTGTCTCGGGAACCACGAGGTCTAGGGAGCTGAAATTTTACGGTAATAATTCCCTGCCAACGCTCAACCTTGCCTATTCAAATCCAGCCTTCCCTCGCTGTTGAGTATCACCTATGACCTCGTGAGAATTTTGGCGGCTAAACTATTAACTAGGGAAGCATGGAAAGATTTTCGTCCTTCGAGGTTTCGAATACAGCTTTCATGCGCTGGTGCGTGAAATTTTTAACTGTTTGCGAATTTTAGAACTGTTTTTGCATAGACAAAAGTACAAAGCAGTGAAAATCATTAATAGGCAGTCGTTTGATGGGCTGAATTGCACAAAACGCATGATCGCACCGGCTAGTCTGGTGCGCGTTACTATTTATTTGATTCCCCGTCACAGTCAGCGGTTGCTCTTCTATTTTCGCCAGTGACTACGATTCTGACTTCTTTCGACCATTTTTTAAAATTGACAATTTCGTGGAACACTTTTTCTTTTAAAAATGTGCAACTTCAAAATTTTGACTGCAGGCAGCTGGAGAAGCAGCACCAGTTGATACGGCTCTAAGTGATCAGCGAGCACTGTTGAAGTTGAATATTCACGTCGGCAATCAGTCACTTGTCGACCAGTTTGAATGGGATATGAGTGAAGAAAAGAATAACCCGGAATGGTTTGCGTCAAAACTAGCGGCAGAATTGGGTCTTGGAGGAGAATTCGTTGCTGCAATAAGCTATTCCATTCGAGGACAGTTATCGTGGAACCAAAAAACCTATGCATACAGGTATTTTTGCTTTTTTTGTTGCGGAAGGATTGAAAAATGATTTTTTGTGGTATTTTTCTGATGGCTTCCAACTCAAGTCCACTTTTCTAGTTGCCTCTGC